TTCTTGTTGCAGGTTCAGGGTGAAATATGGTTGTGTTAATACACAACCTCTCAGGGATAATTACCTCACTGAGCACATAACATGTTTTCATTTGGTCAGAAGAGCCATATCACACATGCCAATGGAGACATCTGGAATGGATTACTTTGCCTCCCTCCAATAGAACCGCTGCTAGTTCAGTAGGCATCACTGTTCAATAGCAGCTGTACTAAGTGGAGTATGGAACGCCCAGTCTGCGCAGGAGGATGCAACTGTCATGATGATTTGTGTGTGGCACAATACTGCCACCTGATGGAGATAGTGCACTGAAAGCCATTGGGAGGAAATTGAATTAGGCAAAGACAGTTGCTGATCTAATGTCACCTGTATGTTTTTTTCTGTATAATTAGGGATGAGGGAGGGTAAACTGATCCTAGATCTGTGTCTATGGGCAACTTCTTCCCGGAGGGAGAGTTCATGGATGTGGTGAAAATATAAGATACCTTATTTTCAACCCCTCCCTTTTTTGAAAACTGTGTTGGAATTACATTTACTCTTATCCAGAGATCCTCATTTAGGACAGCACGAGACCAAAACGCACTGTTGGATCACCCTAATGGTCAAGAAAACTATTTTACGTTAACCCCACTGGAACATTGTGTTTACAGTAATACCCTTTTCCCGGCCAGCACCCAGTCTCCCTCCAATCACCACAAAGAATAGGATAGGGTTGATATATAGCGGGCTATGGCTAATTAAGCGTCTTCAAGCTGATAGCATCATCTCCAGTCAGTATTTATCATTTGTTTTCTGGCAGGGTACAAACAGGAGAGACTCTTAGACTTTTCTATATCCCACAGAAATGACTTGAATGCTATTGAAGATAGAAATGCATCTCCATGTCAGTGATGATTTCACTGCAATGTCTACTGATCTGCAGTGTTCACAGATCAGTGAGGCTCTAAGTTTGGTGAGAGTAGTTTTCATTCCTCTGAGAGAAGATGTTTAAGCTATATTTCAGAGTGACTCATAATTGGTATGAGTCAGACTCAATTTATCAGCCCAATCAAAGTTCTTGAAGCAAAATGTTTTAAAGTATGTTTTCCCCTCATTAATTGCGTCATATAAGCTGCAATATCAAAAGGCAACTAAAGCTATGGTTGGTTCTTTACTTAAAATAAGAAAAGCAATTGCACATTTGAGTTTGAATTATTTGTTTTGTGAAGTTTGTGAATCCAATTGTTATAGTTTGCTGAGTTTAAGTGTAAGAAGAATGGTGTGCATGATTATTTACCCCCAGAGAACCAGTTTCAGGGTTTGATTGAACAGGGTCCTAGGTGTATAACAGTAGATCACCAAATCACATACTTCTGTTTCTATTTCACAGTTGGCATGAAGACAAGGGCTTCAAAGCGACAACAGTGGGGGGGGGGGAAATAGTATTGAATAGGTAATCAAATGGCTTGCTCATTTAGCATGCAGATTTATGCACGCTGTAATTAATTTGCCATTAAGCCTTGATTGATGTCCCTTTGCTTTTTTTCAGGCTATAATTACTTCCTGTGTTGCACTCGCAGCATTGTTCCATTAAGGTAACCATATGCTAATTTAGCTGTGCAGCATTGGTCACAGTTGCAGAGCATAGGAAAAAGTGTTGAATAGGAGCGTACATCTTTATGGGAATTTGTCCTGCTGAGTATGGAGTATGACCATGCGTTGAGCGTGGAGAAGGGATTGGGGATTGTTCCTTAATGTGAGATCTTGTAGTTGCTGCTGTGTCATGTTCTTGGGTGCATAATGTATTCTCTATGTTGACAGTGTGTAGTTATGGTAATGGCCGTTGATTGTTACACAAACGGTAATGATGGTAATAACTGTTACACTAACCGTGTATGTGACTTGTGGGACAAGACATAGGAAGTAGCATAATCCTCATTCAGCTGGTCAATTTCGTCAATCCACACAAACACATTTGACATCAAGAAGGCATTTATTCATTTTGACATTAAATTAACTGTCTCAAACAAAGCATTTATCCAATTCATATTTCCTACATCCAAAAGCATAAAAAACTACAATATCTTCGCCATCAGTTCATCGAATGAGGAGTTGGTGGGGGGAAAAAAACAACTAAGAGCCCTGAAATCATTTTGAAAAATAGAAAATAAGTACTACCTGATCCACAGAATGTGTGTAGCCACACCATCTTGTTATTTCCTTTGATGGCCAACCATTTGCATTCTCTCAATGGTCCTTCTGAAGAACTTTGAATGATCACCCAGTCCAGTACATAGAATGACCACCCAGTCCAGTACATAGAATGACCACCCAGTCCAGTACATAGAATGACCCCCTCTACTACTCAACAGCCTTTCTGACGCACACCCAAATCTAAACCAACCCAGCACCCATATACCCTCATGGTATCTGAAAGGATTGGATAGAAGTATGCAAAATGGCTGACACTAGTTTACGTTTTGGTCATATTAGTGTTTTCACGATACCAACATTTTACTACCGATACGATATCAGGCCAAGTATCACAATACCGAGTAGTATCGCAATACCACAGGAAAATATTCAGAGTGGCCTAGCGTCCTGTTGGCCCCGTCTCCCCGGACGCTTGTTCCCGTTTCTAAACGCTATGCGCATATGCTCCACAAAAAAACCTCTCACTGATATTCACACTTCTACTCAATACAACACATATTGAATTTAACTTCACACTGTTCACTGTATAATAGAATACTGCATAGAAATGGCTGATTTGCTCATATTTCCAAAGGCCTACCTGTGATTTGGCAGGAGGAATGGGAGGAAGGAGTATACATGCATAATGATTTGCATGTCATTGTGGCAGTAAGGGGAAAACACTACATGACATTTTCTTTACTCTTTAGTTAACAGACCCACTCTCCCTCCCTGTCTCCCTCTCTCTCATAAACACACACCACTCTCTCTCCGACAAACACATACACACACTACTCCCAACTTTAAAAAGTCACCAAACAGAATTTAAGGAGCATCAGAAAGACAGATTTTTTATATATACTGAACAAAAATATAAAAGCAACATGTAAAGTGTCGGTCCTATGTTTCATGAGCTGAAATAAAACATCCCCAAAATTTTCCATATGCACAGAAAACTTATTTCTCTCAAATTTTGTGTACAAATTTGTTTATATCCCTGTTGGTGAACATTTCTCATTTGCCAAGATAATCTATCCACCTGACAGGTGTGGCATAACAAGAAGCTAATTAAACAGCATGATCATTACACAGATGCACCTTGTGCTGGGAACATTAAAAGGGCACTCTAAAATGTGCAGTTTTGTCACACAACACAGTGGCACAGATGTCTTAAGTTTTAAGGGCGCGTGCAATTGGCATGCTGACTGCAGGAATGTCCACCAGAGCTGATGCAAGAAAATTTAATGAATTTCTCTACCATAAGCCGCCTCCAATGTCGTTTTAGAGAATTTGGCAGTACGTCCAACCGGCCTCACAACCGCAGACCACGTGTAACCACGCCATCCCAGGACCTCCACAACCGGCTTCTTCACCTGCGGGATCGTCTGAGACCAGCCACCTGGACAGCTGATGAAACTGAGGAGTATTTCTGTCTATTCTTGTGGGGAAAAACTCAACTTCTGATTGGCTGGGCCTTGCTCCCCAGTGGGTGGACCAGCCTCCCAAGTCATTTCCCTGCCCAGTCATGTGAAATCCACAGATTAGTGCCTAATTAATTCATTTAAATTGACTGATTTACTTACATGAACTGTAACTCAGTAAAATCGTTGAAATGGTTGCATTTATATTTTTGTTCAGTATAGATCAGGCTTACATTAGGCCTAAATAAACCCTACCTTTGAAGCACATTTCATGAGTTGCAGACCATTTTCCTTTCTTCCTGTGGCAATCAAATTTGCCTATACCTACTGTCAAGTTACCAGGTTGTTAGCTAGCTAGGACACATGACTAAACAAAATGTTTTGTTATCAAACCAATAATTAGCGAACCGCGATTCGTTTCAAACGGCGTCGCAACATGGTGTGTGAAATCGCGCATGAAGAAAAAAAGGTAGCGCCGGTAATATGGGTTATATTCTTTTTACCGTTTGAGCTATACAAGCCGTTTTCTTTGTTGTAATGCTGCAATCATGTCTTTAGCGAAGCTGCTTTTCCTCTCTGGCACTTAAGAGGCTGCATGAGAGCGAACTTGCAAAGCCTACTCAGATTGGCCTGTGCTCTTGGTTATACCAGGGATGAAATGATGCAATGTATCAACTTTTATCGCTCTGCTTCAATGTATAACATTTAACAACAAAAGACTCCTCAGGGTGTGCATCCCCGCTTGCCATCACAGCTAAATTATATTTTGAAAACTGATGGAGGAATAGAAGTGTAGGAAGAGCGGACGGAGAGAAGCAAGTGAGTGAGGGCTGGTAGGGGATGCAGCTGGCTGATTACAGCTGCCACACGTGATATGCGCATGAAAATGAAGTGGATATTATTGGACTGGCGCTTACAAGACTAGTTCCTGTTGCTTAAATTAAACTGTATTTATAAACAAAACTGACTTTGTAAACATTTTATAACAGGCGCCAGTGGGTTCTTTAGATGGGTTGGCCCGAAAAATGTGGTATGAAATGGTACTACGGTATTTTAAAATGTTGGTATCATAAGTATCATGTTTTGGTACCATGATACTACCGTGGTACTGGTATACCGTGCAACACTAGGACATATAGACCCCTTTCCAGTACACGACACACTGACGTCACCCACAGATGTGCGCGACTCTTGGCTGCAGTAAGAAAGCCATCGCCATCTGCGCTCATTCAACAAAGCCTAGACTTACGTTTTTATTACTTCTAAACAAAATACCTTTTTGGGGTTCTCATTCGCTTACAATTATGTTTTGATTCTTGCTTGAACAGTCGCTAAGATTATATTTGGTTGTGATCTTTGCAAAATAACTATTTTGGATGCAGCAGTTGTTAGGTAGAATGCTAACACTCATTGCCAAAGAGCCATTTTACTGGTTGAAGTGTAAGTGTTTTTTAAGTATAATGCAGTTGATTTGCAATGATGACACAAACATTATATTAAGCAGGACATTCACACGAGCCTTAAAATCCAATTATAACCCAAAAGTAGTGTGAAATGCATTCATAAGCAACATGTAAATAGAGGCTTTTTTTGCTGGCATTCAATAAGAACTCCCCGTGTTCTACTACCAACTAGCGCGCATCGCCCTCGTGCGGCAATGTTTGCAAACACAGAAAGGGGTCTATTGTTGAGACCTATCCAATACTTTCAGATCTGTTCGGGGAAAATGGACAACGGCATAGGAATCAGTTTGGAACCTTGCAATGTTTCGTATTGCCACTCTATGTGCCAATGTTACCTTGACACAAAATGGCCGCCTCCGCGAGTCTGAGGCTCCTCATATCTTCTTCATGCGCTTCCTGGGCCTCTGGTTGAAGACGGGCGACGTGCCCATGAGTGAGTCGGGAGAGTGCGAAGCATAGCTGCCGTCCGACGCCGCCCCTCCGGGCGAGGGCGCCATGCCGTCTGCCTCGCTCATAGTGGACATGGGCCCTCCCTCCTCGAACACATCACCCCCCAGTACCCCGTGGCCTGACACCTGGCCCTCCTCGCTGTCCTGGGGCTCCATCTTCACCTGCGACAGGTGCCACAAGGGGGAGCTGATGGCAACTCCGCCACCTGTCAGGGACACATAGGCCAAGATGAAGGAGAGAACATGGTTACAAATACTGTATATGAAATAGTTATTTGTAATCAAATCTATCTCATGAAAACAATGCAATGTTATACAGTTAACATGATCATTGCCTCTTGGTCCCTGAGGGTATCATACCAGTGTTTGTCCAATTTAAGAAAAGTATCTATATCATGTAGGCATAAATGAAGTATACATCTATGTCAAATGCTAAAAAACACGTTCATACGGTCAGTGTTATGATATCATGCAAGTCAATGTTAGAATCAGTGCCATACTTTTAGGGTATTTAAAAAAAAAAACACAACCAACTCTCATGCCTTATGTTATGCATGTCCTTATGTCCTCATCATATGTATTTGGACAGTGAAGATAACATGTTAATTTGGGCTCTATACAGCATTTTGAATTTCAGATCAAATGATCAATATGGCACGATAGTACAGAATGTCACCTCTTATCAGATATATATATTTATTCATATCACCTTTATAATAAAGCATTGCATGCATATCATCGCATTTGCGTAGTGGCATAGAGCAGTAAAGTAGAGGCACGTACAGAAGTTGCACACATGGGGAATTGTATTTTGTAGCCTAGGGTCCGGTAAAATTGTTGCCTTTTATAAACGCATTTCATTCAATTCTACGTCATTATACATGACTGGAGACTTTGGCAGAATCTTTTTTAATGCCGCACAAATAATCGAAATGACAGGCTACTTTGACACTGACAAACTGAGATCAACAAAAACGAACTCGTCTTGAATCCATCAATAGCCGAGGCGTGTGGAGACACATGTTGTCGGCTACAATATGAGGAGGAAATTTGTCCTAAAAATGCTTTCCAGTTTCACTAACTCACCCAATGATGCGCAGCTCACTCGCTGGTGATGGTCGATGCGCTCATGCCAAAAGCCTCTCTCTCGTTTTACTTTGTAAAAACATATTTGGAAGTTGATCAAATATCTTGGTAGCCTACAGCAGACAGATTAGTCTTCTCTTTTCAGCAGGAACCGTTTGCTTTCCAACCTGTATTTCCCTCGATTGTATTTGAAATATTGCGAAAGGCATGTTTTGTCCGCATGCCGTTTGTTCACTCGTTCCCGACTGTAGGCTACGCCTTGTTATTGGGCTTCATGTACAGCTAGGATAATTAATGAAGAGGCAACTCGAATGAACTTTGAGCTCTTTTTTATTTAACTATATTGCAAAACTTGTAAATAATTTTTCATGCCTCGAGAGGTACCAGATCCAGCCAAATAGGTTCCGTAATGAAACAGTCCAAAACGAAGAGGCACTATCCTCTGTAGCTCAGCTGGTAGAGCACGGCGCTTGTAACGCCAAGGTAGTGGGTTCGATCCCCGGGACCACCCATACACAAAAAAAAAAAAAATGTATGCACGCATGACTGTAAGTCGCTTTGGATAAAAGCGTCTGCAAAAAAAAAAAAAAAAAAAAGGTTTAACCATTTGGACAACAGCAACAGCACTTTATGGATCTAGTCCCCACCATTTGAAGAAATCACAAGTATTTGGACTAAAGGGTTAGTATTTGGTCCCATATTGCTCGCACCCAATGACTACATCAAGCTTGCGTCTCTAAAAACTTGTTGGGTGCATTTGCAGTTTGTTTTGGCTATGTTTTTGGCTAAATTAGTGGTTACACAACAGATGCTAACCTCTCACCATTACCAATAAAATGGAAGGTTAGCATTTTGGGGGGGGGGGTATCATCTTTGTACCTCTTCATTATTCACGATTTGTCATAATCGCAGTAGCATCCAAATGAATGTAAGAATGTTCAGACACAGTTCAGTCATTGCGTCCAAGGGACGAGACCAAATACTACACTTTAGACTACATTATGTTAATCATTTGATCTCAATTCCAAAATGCTAGAGTACAGAGCCAAAATAAAATGTTTAGCTTCACTGTCCAAATACATATATATATTTTTTTATTATTATTTTTTTAGTCATTTAGCAGACGCTCTTATCCAGAGCGACTTAGTTAGTGCATACATTATTATTTTTCATACCCCCTGTGGGAATCGAACCCACAACCCTGGCGTTGCAAACGCCATGCTCTACCAACTGAACTACATCCCTGCCGGCCATTCCCTCCCCTACCCTGGACGACGCTAGGCCAATTGCGCGCCGCCCCATGGGTCTCCCAGTCGCGGCCGGCTACGACAGAGCCTGGATTCCACCCAGGATCTCTAGTGGCACAGCTAGCACTGTGATGCAGTGCCTTAGACCACTGCGCCACTCGGGAGACACGACACATATGGTGAGGACTGTACATAGTATTAGTATTACGGGGGTATATACCATACCTGAGGTGTGTGGTGAGTGTTCCCCCTCCAGGCCCCCGGCCAGCCTCTCGTTTGGGGCCCCCAGCACCCCCATGGGGAGGGCCTGATCCCCAGAGGCCTGGTCCGCCTCTGGCTCCTCGCTGACGGGGAAGGCGATGTCATTCATGGGTTCCTCTTTGATCCGCGGGGGCTTGGAGTCCTCCAGGGCCTTCTCAGGGTTCACCAGCCGCTCGTACTCCTCCGACAGCTCCTTGCTGACCTGGGAACAGCCCCAGGGAATAGATAGAGGTTTAACAGTGAGCTCCTTGCAGGGCCCTACGTTGATATTGTTGACAAGGAGCAAACATTTTGGAGCACACAAAGAAATGTAGGAGCACAATGAAAGTATGTTTGTTTTTATAATAAATGACTAAAAGTCATGAATAAAACGTTTTTGGGCGTGTTCCATGCGCAATCAAGCACAATGTACCCTCAAATATTTCAATAAATTAGATGAGACAAATATTCAGCTGCCCCTTTAAGGGCCGGAGGTTACAGTGGTAAAACAGGGCACTTGCATGTCGGTCTGTCCGACTTCTCTTGACAAGCAGTTGAGCAAGCTTAAACTAACATTGAAAAACAACCTAGCGTGTGAACAAAATAATGTAAATAGCCAAGAAACACGAGGACAACATCACACTTTAGTAGACTTTCGGGTAAATTTGACTTCTATGCCTGTGAGCTTCTAAAAGTGACTCTTTCAGCACTTCACTCACAGTGCACACAGCCCCCCCGGCACTATTGCTGCGTGAGGTAGGATAGCTATATGGGATTCGTAGTTCTTTGTGTGATTAGCTACCCGCTATAAACCAGCTTGCACATGTGCTCATACTTGACTTTTTCAGTTCGCACATTAAAATTTTTTGGTGCAAATGCGAGTAAAATGGTTGCACCGTAGAGCCCTTTATTGCTGACCTAGGAACAGAACGAAGGGATAGTTTTAACAGTGGGGTGGTAAATAGCTCTTGGCTGATCTAGGAACGGCACAGGGGATAGAGAGTTAACAGTGGGATAATCTAACCAACACAGGACTACAAGGTCAAATAAACTCCACAGGGTGCAGGTGCCTGGTCTCACCTAGCCATGTCAGGGTCATGTTCAGGAGGGAGTAATACTATCCAAGTCTGTTGTACACAATGGATGTCTACCTTTCACAATGTTGTGTCCTACTAAACACAACCCACTTTTTTCCCCAGCCACCACATCACAAACCAAGCCCATCCCGAAACAATACCAACAGTTCCTCACCTGGAGCATGTGGCTGTGGTAGTCCTTGATGCGCACCTGCCAGAAGCGCTGCAGGGCCAGCACGCTGCCGATGCCCACCTCGTGGAACACCTGCTCTACCACGTCCGGGAAGGGCGTGGCACCCAGGCGGGCCTCGCGGTCCACGGCCGTGCGCAGCAGTCGGCTGAGGCGCAGGTAGTGCTCGTGGGCCAGGTCAGTCAGGGTCTCCAGCACGCTCTCCTGGGCCGACTCAAAGCCGGCGTGGGCCAGGACTGTGGCCACTGACTGGTACAGGAGCTGTCGGCACGAGGGCCAGCTCAGCTCGGTGACGGGCTCACCTTTGCCCCTGTATGGGGAGAGGGGAGGACGAGGGGGTGAGAGACAGAGGGAGAGAAAGGTGAAGATTGAAGGAGGGATGAGACAGAACTAGCTCACAGGAGAAAACTTGGAACATAACTGTGATAATTCCTTGCCTCATTGTTGCCAGAGCACTGTTCACCACATTCTTCCAAAAAAAAATACGATCATAATCCGTTTAGCTTATCTTGACTTCAATGCAAAGTTCAATTAATAAACATAGATCACAATACAAAGTGACACTGTGCAAGCCACTGCAACAAGTCAAGACACAGCCATTCCTGTCTTACATGTAAAAGTCGCTCTCAGGGTCGCTGTGGCAGAGCTGGAAGGGCTGCCAGGGTGCCTTGCTGTCCAGGGGCAGCAGGTCATCGGGGGCGGCCGGCGGCGTGGGTGGCCGTGGGGGAAGAGCCTCCCCTTCCTCCAGCCTGCTACTTCCTCCAGCACTACTGCCCTCCGAGGGGACCAGACCTTTCCCCTGGGCTGCAGCCAGGAGGCTGCGGAGGCGCCGGGTGTGCTGGCACAGCTGCACCGTGTGGATGGTGAGACTGCAGGGCTCAGAGGGGATGTCCAGCATGGTAGTGGGCCGGGGCCGCTGGGCCGAGGGCTGGTGCAGAGGGGGGTCCTGCATCTCCACCGAGCGGAACTCGCGCTGGAGCAGGTCGAAGGAGCTGCGGCTCGGTGGGGCGCCTGCCGGCCCGGGGATCTCCCCCCAGTAACGCATCATCGTTCTCTAGTGAGCCGCTTCAGGCTATCGTGTGATGAGGTTTCTGGTATGTGACAAAGCAGGGGAGATGGCAATCAGCACACACTAAAGGAACAAAGCTCTAATTTAGTGTCACTCTGCTCTGTGCCAACCAGTTGCTAATGAGTCAGGGAAACAAATATTTAAACAACATAGTGTTTCAGATGTTGTGAATACATAGGAACATGCATAGTGTTACTTTCTTCTTCTTTAGATTTGTATTGGCGGATCACAACCAACTGAAAAGTGCATACACCGCCACATACTTTACTGTTCTGGATTGTGAGGCCTCACTATTCATCTATTTCTCTTATCTAGCCCTGTGTTTCCGCCTACTGTTCTGGAGTGTGAGTCCTCACTATTCATCTATTTCTCTTATCTAGCCCTGTGTTTCCGCCTACTGTTCTGGAGTGTGAGTCCTCACTATTCATCTATTTCTCTTATCTAGCCCTGTGTTTCCGCCTACTGTTCTGGAGTGTGAATTCATTACACTTTGTAACACAAAAAGGTAAAGGACAAAGGACAGGGAAAAGGGAACAAAAATTGCCCTACCAACTAACCCTACACCCATTAAATCCTCCCCACTATTCCACTACTTGGCCATATCTGATCCTGCACCAGGCCGACAGCCTGGGAGGACGGGACACTATCGTTCAACACACCTTGTAACTCTTCTGCAGTAAAATCTCGTACACCCGCGTACTTCTCTGCAGCTGCTACCACAAAATGTTTTTCCCTGTGATTTAAGTTCCAGTTCTGCAGTACAGTTGATAACAATGGCTATGAACACTAAGAAACCAACCTTACTGAAGCACATTATTGCTATCACTCTCTATTGACCTCGGCCTACTCACAGAGAGCCTGTTAGGATCCATCGCCCTGGACCCATCTTCTTCTACTACTCTCTTCACTGTCTAAGCATACGACACCTTCTGTACTACTCTGATCCTGGCAACCTCAACCTGCCTTTCTCTCACTGGACACTTCTGAGCTCCAGCACCATTAGTATCCAATTCCTTTGTATCATGTCCTCCTGCACACTTCTCACATTTAGGAACCTCCTAGCCCTTGATCTTGACTCTCAGTTCCATTCCATTACAGATAAGTGTCATTGGACAAAGGCGTCTTCTGTACGGGGGAGTTTTGCTAAGAACATTAACACATATCGCTCGCGGTACGGTTTTGAGAGGCATAAGGACCTTATCTTTCAAAATAATTTTCTAAAAAATAAAAGGGTTCAATTCATACACACCTTTATAGGGTTAGTGTTCCCACACGGCCACATCTCCATGTTACAGTGCGTCTTTACAGAAAACATCTAAGCATGTTACGAACATCTGTGTGTAACGGAAGAAGGCTGCAACGGTCGGCTGCAACGTTCAGATGGAGTATTTGGCAGTTTTGGCTGCCTTTGAGAACGGCCTATGTGACATCGATTCCAGTCAGAAACAGTTATTCTAGTGTCAAAACTGACTACAAAGTGTAAATAGGATATTCTGGTCATGAAGTCAGTCTTGGAACATCCGTGCATCACAACGGGTAAATTAAGGTTGGGTTGATTTGACGATGTCCATTTGCCCACTAACATGGGGTTAACAGCTGCGGGGATTGCTCTCTATCCAATAGTTTAGAGACAGTGAGACAGACCTGCCCAGCAGCTCCGACTTTGTTTACATAACACAAGCCGCATTTTTTTATTTGAGAAATACTGCACCAAACACCTTAGATGTAAAATTGCAAAACTAAAACATCCTCTGCAAAAATGTCAAAATGAATTACACATTTCTTGAGTTATCTTCGATTCATTCTGAGGCTTTTGAGGAAGTGATAAAGGCTTCTGCATCTACAGTGTCTTATGGGGGACAAACATCATTAACCAAATGCGCAATCGGTCAATAAACACACCTCCAACACTGAAATAATTTTTGGGGCCTTCCTCTGACACCGCCTAGTATATAGGTCCTGGATGGCAGGAAGCTTGGCCCCTGTGATGTACTGGGCCGTACGCACTACATTCTGTAGCACCTTACGGTTGGATGCCGAGCAGTTGCCATACCAGGCGGTGAAGCAACCGGTCAGGATGCTCTCGATGGTGCAGCTGTATAACTTTTTGAGGATCTGGGGACCCATGCCCAATCTTTTCAGTCTCCTGAGGGGGAAAAGGCGTTGTCGTGCCCTCTTTATGACTTTCTTGGTATGTTTGGACCATGATAGTTTGTTGGTGATGTGGACACCACGGAACTTGAAACTCTCGACCCGCTCCACTACAGCCCCTTCGATGTGAATGGGGGTGTGTTCGGCCCTCCTTTTCCTGTAGTCCACGATCATCTCCTTTGTCTTTCTCACGTTGAGGGAGAGGTTGTTGTCCTGGCACCACACTTCCAGGTCTCTGACCTCCTCCCTATAGGCTGTCTCATCATTGTCGGTGATCAGGCCTACCACCGTTGTGTCGTTCGGCAAACTTAAATGATGTTGTTGGAGTCGTGCTTGGCCATGCAGTCGTGGGTGAACAGGGAGTACAAGAGGGGACTAAGCACGCACCCCTGAGGGCCTACCCTTACCACCTGGGGGCGGCCCGTCAGGAAGTCCAGGATCCAGTTGCAAAGGGAGGTGTTTAGTCCCAGGGTCCTTAGCTTAGTGATGAGCTTTCTGGGCACTATGGTGTTGAATGCCGAGCTGTCATACCTTCATACCGACCTTGTGCCATACTGGAATATTCCATAATACTGGCACAGAACACAGGGGGCGCCGTTTTCAAACCCCACTGATACTCATTAATCCGAAGGTTAGCAATCCTAACAAGTACATGTAGAATATCATAGAGAAGGCTAACTAAATGCTAACGAGCGCATTGTGAACATTTTGTACAGTTTCAGACCTAAAACTATACAAATAATTCAAAAACGAAATTATAATAGCCTATCTAATAGGCCCAATTAAAAGAGAGATGTGCATGGTAATTTGTTTTATGGCTACTTCGGGAATAATAACTTATCATGGACAGAAAATGTGAGGAATTTATTCTGCAATGTTGCCAATGTCTTTGCAATATATTAGGCCTATGTATTATGTTTATAAATGAAATATTGTCCACTCGAGAAATGTAACATTACATTATTCAGACATAGTTCACCTTTTCCATTGACCTTTGTAGGCCGTCTGTTCTACCATTAAACTGCACTACTATTTACTACTGTAAAGTGGGTCCAATTAAATGAGAGATGGTAGCCTATCCTAACTTGTTGTAGGCCTTTAGGCCATTTCGCGAGTATGAAACCATCAGTCACAAACAGGTGAGGAATTGATTCTGCAATTATCATGAAATTTAAGAAATAATAGAAATAGATGCCTATTTCTAATTATTTTAGAATGCAAAGATAAAATACATTAATTTTCACTCGTCACTAACAGCAAATTATTGCATATTGTTATTATATTTAAGCCTAAATGCCCGTTTTTTTGTTTTGAATAAGAGTGCCATCAAATATTGCCCATGGCTACAACTAGGCTACTTTTGCCTTGTTACAATGCAATCCTTCAAACACTAGAACTTGTTCAGTTTTTATAAATGCCAACTTTTGCGTGGTAACCTGTTTTGGGGCATTTTTTGTGCATATGTAGCGTTTATAAATGCGGCCCCTGGTCACTTTTACTCCATCTCCCTGACCGCAAATGGATCTCCCAAAAACACATCCTTATCCATGAAACGTACTCCAACAAACGAACAAGGCATTATTAGACAGAGGCCTGTCTTTATGAACAACTGCATATTTCCGTTAGGGAACGCCTACTCTGTTAAGCGCGCGTGTGCAATTACTCAATTCGCCTTTGCACTCCTAAACAACGTGATTTTTTACAACTTTGCCGAAGGTTAAAGTCTACAAAACGCAGACGACTCTGTTCATAACAAATTCTAGTTTTGGGATCAGAAAACTGTACTGAGATCAAATGTTTCATCAATGAGAACATTTGAAGAATGTCGGCCAATATCCATCTCCTTCCATCTTCTCCCACTGTCGGCCACTGGGCGTCCTCTCACTACCATATTTGGTAGTGAGTGGAAACGCCAAGCGGATGCTTCACATTTACACATCCGGTGAAATATCTCTCATTTGTTGGCCTGAGATGGTGACCCTGAAAGATGGTGGAAGCAGATGCTGAAGTGGATTGTAAATCTAATGGCGGTAGAATCAAGTAGAATTGGACTATTGTCCAAAACAATGGAAAACAGAGCAAAGTAGTGTACAGTGCTGAGAATTTCCCTTTGTATCTTGTAGGAGCAGCTGATCGAAATACCAATCTTGAAGAATCCATTTGAGCTATCCAAACTGGTTGAGAGAGTGATGGGTAAAGTAAAGGCTGTGAGGATCACGAGAGGCGGGCTTGTTTCGATTTGTTGTGCTTCTGAGGATCAGAAGAAATGTGTGTTGCGTCTCACCCGATTTGATAAGTTTGACGTGTTGTGTGTCTCTTCGGAACAGGGCACCCCTCAAGGGGGTAATATCTGGCGTCTCGTGGGAAGTCGATGTTGAAGAGATGAAAAATATTCCTGGAGTGATTGATGCACGTTGGATGAATCGTGTGGTGAATTATGAAAAAGTGAAGAGTTTATCTGTTCTTTTGTTTTTTTATATGGAGTCTCTCCCTACTCAAGTGCAGTTGGGGTATATAAACTACAAAGTCAGAGCATTTATCCCAAGACCAATGCAGTGATCAACGTAAAGCTTTTGGTCATGTTTCAAGTGTTTGCAGAAGGGAGCAACCGAGACGTCCAAGTTGTGGAAAATATCATATGTGTTATAAAAGTGATGAAAATATGACATGTTGCAATTGTGGTGGGAACCATGAAGCCACGTCTTTTGAATGCCTGACAAGGGTGAAATAAAATGAGGTGGCCAAAGCTAGGGTTGTCCAGAGCATATCATATGCGGCTGCTGTTAAAAGGGTTGAGGGTTTGAATGGTGCTCCTGAAGAGTCCATGGTGGTGGATAGGCCTTCACTGCAGGCTGCAGGGGTTGCCTTTCACCAGCAGGACCCAGATATTTTAAAGGTTAAGAAGGTGGACTCTGTGGCCTTTATAGCTATGGTGATTAATGGCACTGCCAAGTGGAGAGAAGGTCCAGGAAAATATATATTATTGTGGATGCGGCGGTGCGGTTCCTGTGACTGAAAGACTTCTCGGCGGAGGAGTTACATTGAATATTGTCACAATCCGTACCACCCTCTCAGGCCCTAAGTGGGAGTTTGTGTTAATTTACTATTTTTATTTGTTTACTATTTTTATTTGGGTGGATTAAGTTAATTTCCCTATCACGTATGGATTTTATTTTTTACCCGTCCAGTTGGTGGCGGCAATACAACTTTTTGGGTTGTAGTCCGCCATAAAACCCACAGAAGAAGAAGGTCTCATTGTTCTGTGTCTGAACCGTTTCCACTCTCAGCGTCCTTCCAACATCATCATGCTCGTCAGGTTCAATTTCTGAGCACGTATTTTTCTACTTGACGTCAGTCTTGCTCAACACACCGCTTCCCTCTACACTCAACTCCTTTCCCTTTTCACAGTCTTCCAAAAAAAATATCCACGCTCTTTCCGCAACTTCATCCGCTGTAGTAGCAAACTGTTCAAATGGTTATTGTATCTTGAATTTGCCGCCATTACCCAATACGATTTCTGCATATAGTGTTAGCTACTTGGTTAGGTGGCTAGATACGATACAAAATGAAATTGCACAAGTGAGGTGCATTCGTTTTTCTATGGTGCTTGCTAACTAACGTTAGCTACGCCCCCTCAATGGATAATCCACGGTTAACGGCGGTGCCGCGCAACTAATCTTTATAATTTAGCTAGCTAACAGAGCCATTTTATAAATTGGCAAAAAAGTATATAGCGAGCTAGCTGATGAAGACAACTGAAGTAAACACTAGCTAGCTTCTCACCGTATTCGAAGAGATGTAACAAGCGTATAGTTTACGTCCAGAACTAAAACAGCTTTCAGACGATGCTTATGGTCCGTGTCATTAAAAGGCACCGTGTAAATAATTTCAATGTTTGGAATAGTTCCTCCTTCTTGTTAATAATTTAGCTACACACAGTGGATGTAAAAAATAAAAAAATGCATTCCGTTGTAACATGGTACCACTTTACGGGCTCTGTATTTTACGGTAATTCATAATATTTACATAATATCCCAGTCAACAGATCTATCCAAACTTTCTGACGGTAACAATTAGTATAGAATCGTGTTACAGCACGGTCCGATTTGAGAGCCGAACCAAATAAACATGGCGGACTCACGCACAGAAGAGAGTGAAATAATTACTGGTAAAGAAATGGCCACTCAAATGGAAGAACTTGTGAGTAATGAGAATGGCGGTGAATGTGACAAGAAAGAAGACGTGACTAACACTCAAACAGAGGACCCTTTCAAAAAACCTGCTCTCTTTGCGGCGCCTTCGCTAGTGAGTAAACGAGGTCTAGTCGCGAGCAGCGCAGCAAGAAAGCCTGCGCATGGCGACAAAGAACAACTACAACCATCTACTTCTGATAGTAGTGAGGCATCTCCAGATGAACAAACAAAGGAAACCACCCCTTCCACGTCGTATAATGACAACCCGACGTCACGGAAAGGTCCAGAGAGCGAAAAAGAGAAGACTAGTGATGGTGCAACGACCAAACTGCAAGACCACAAAACCCCACCAATATTCCCTGTCAAAGGAACACCTGCTGGCAAATTTAAACCCCACCCTCCTGTTCCATACACCGAACCCTCTTGGGCAGGAGTGGCAGATTTCCCATATTCCCTAGAAATCCTCAAGAATGGCACTATATTTGATACGGTCCCACTCACCCAGCAGAGTTATTTTGTGGTCGGACGTTTACCTGTGTGCGACATATCCCTGGAACACCCCTCAATCTCCAGGTATCACGCTGTCATTCAGTACCGTGGGCTGGCAGGAGAGGAGGAGTCAGTTGGAGAGGCGAGAGGGTTCTATGTCCATGACTTGGGCAGCACACATGGTACCTTCGTCAACAAGAACAAGATACCACCGAATACCTACATCAGAGTACGGGTTGGGCACGTACTCAAATTCGGGGGAAGCACTAGACTTTTCATCATGCAGGTAAAAAATATAAGAATTGTTCCTTCATGCAAGAAAACATTACTTAAAAAATATAAGAATTGTTCCTTCATGCAAGAAAACATTACTTAGCCTACCTCTGAGTGGTATGAATACACAGTGAACTTACTACCACAAGTAGGCTTGATGTACTAGACCAGAATAGACATCCTTAAATTTCAAACCTCTATTACTTATGTAGTCCTTTACCATTGTAGTTCTGAATAGCCCTACTCTACTGTCTCTCTGCAGGGTCCAGAGTTTGACGAAGAGGCGGAGTCAGACCTGACTGTCACAGAGCTGCGGGAGCGAGCCAGGAAGCAGCGGGAGGAACTGGAGAGGAGGATGATGGGAGAAGGCTCGGACGAGGAGGACAAGGAAAAGGAAGAGGGGAAAGAAAGCAGTGGCGTCAAGAGAAAGAGTTTGAACGATGATTCGGGCTGTTCCTGGGGAATAGGTAAGCTTTCAGTGCTCAGCACCAGGAGAGACTGTAATGCACGGCTCGGAATAGTTGACTTACACCAATTGCAATTAACCACTGCTACCAAATCAGAGCTCTGTAGCTTCAACCCAAGCCCTCAATATGTTAACTTTAACCTCTCTCGCCTTCCCATCTATCCATATATATATATATACATGTGTAGCTGATGAGACAGTCCCTGAAGAGGATGAGAATGAGGAGAACCCCTTCTCCACAGAGTTCCAGGAGGACCAAGAGGCTGCTTACCTGAAGGACCCCAAGAAAGCACTGCAGGGCTTCTTTGACAGAGAAGGTCAGACCTTTGGAGAAAGACATTCACTAGTACCATAATCATGTTTCCTGTTGGTGTGTTTGACGGCGTCTCGCTATCTGTCTTTTATTTCAGGGGAAGAGCTGGAGTTTGAGTATGAAGACAAAAACCACGGTACCTGGCTCTGCAGAGTGAAGTAAGCTTTTTTTATTTTGTCTAGGTGTATGTAATTGTGTGCGATCATGTATTATGTCATGCAAATTATATTGCTGTCCTTCTCAAATTTGGGCCTGTAAGCCTGCAGCCCTGCTGGTTTTCATTCATCCCCACTAATCAGGGACTGATTCAGACCTAGCCAATCAGTGACATTTATCATTAAACTAACTACCAGGTAGAAAACATAACCAACAGTATGCTGGCCGCCAAGCCTGGAATCCGAGTACAGTTGACATACTGAATAGAATGTAAAACATGTCACCTCCTTTCCACACACAGGCTCCCGGTGGACGACGCTTTGGGGAAGCAGCTGGTCGCTGAGGTGACCCACACAGGGAAGAAGAAAGATGCGGCCATCCAGTGTTCCCTGGAGGCGTGCCGCATCCTGGAGGCCCGGGGCCTGCTCAGGCAGGAGGCAGGTGGGGGTCCTAGCAGAGCTGCTACATCAGCCCACAACAGAACTGTTACTATTTACTGTAGTCAATGCAGCCTTCTACATCAGCAGTATGAGTGGTTCAGCAGCTCATGAGGCTCTATTTTGCTCAAATCGCCATTGGGAATTATCATGTCATGTGGGTTCCTAGTCATTCGTTAAAATATTCCAACGTTATATTGAAATGTCACATTATACACAGTGAACACCCTACATAATAGTGAACACCCTACATTGAAGGTGATAGCTTGCCGTTTTGGTTATTAACATTTTTATTTACAATTTATGTTTTATAATAATTCATTAAATTTGTAAAGTCTTTTCTCAGACACAAAAATTACAAATGTAATAAAAACAATCCAGAACACAGACAACAATCAAAGCTATATACAGGTGTCGCCAGATCCGGAGGACACAATAACAGAATTAGTAGAGGTTCTTGAAAGGTTTTCTGAACAGCAAGGTCTTGAGCTGTGGCTTAAAGGAGGACAGAGACTGCAGCCCTAATTGTGTCTGGACGTGCGTCCCACAGCCGGCGGAGCCACGCAACTGAAAGCCCTGTCACCCATAGTTTTGTCACCCATAGTCTGCTGCGGGGCTGCTGAAGGGATACAGACCTGGAGGAGCTAAGGGTGCGTGTGGGACAGGAGGGTAGAATGAGGTCAGACAGGTACTTCCGTCCAGAGATAGCTTGGTAGGTGTGAACCAGGATTTTGTAGTTGATGCGTGAACATATGGGGAGCCAGTGGAGGTTGAACAGCACTGGAGTGATGTGCTTGCGAGGGGAGATGTGGGTAAGGACACGTACAGTTCTGGACATATTGTAGCCTGTTTGGCACTTGGAAGATCCGCCAACAAAAAGGGAGTTACAATAGTCCAAACAGGATTAAATAAAAGTCCTTAGTCCCTTAATTCCCCTTTGTTCATTCCCTATGTAGGCCTAACCCCTTGGTCCGCCAGACATTGAGTCCTTACTCTGTACCATTGAGTATGTTTACATGCACACTAATAATTTGAATTTAAACTGAATAATGGCAGAAGGCAGAGTATGGCATTAGTCATGTAAACACCTTACTCTGTTTATCTTAATCGGCGTAAGGTCATAATCGGAGTAAGCATACGCCGATTAAAACACCTGGTTTTCTGAGCAATCTTTCAAATTATTAGGACATTTAAATCGGCATCTGCGCATGTGCCAGCACCGTGTAGCACAAGGCCTCCCTCTTAAATGGGAGTCAAGTGAGTTCGGAAAAACAAAGGAGGCATCTTTATAAATAGTTTTCACATACAAACTTTATATGTCCAAACTCCGAATCAAAAAGTATTAGCAAAAATAACATGGTCACTGTTTATTTTGATTGGCGATTTTCTGCATTTATCAAAAGTCCCATCAGTAACCTGATTTCAGTGTCCATGTAAACAGGATTATTAGGGAAATCGTTCTTCTTGCAAAGCATGTAAACGTTTTAAACAAACTCTCTATATTAACCTGACTATCCACAATAATCGCATTATTGTGTGCATGTAATCGTGCTCATTGTCTATGTAACTTCTACCGTTGTCGTACTTTAACTTTTTCATAATCCACTCCCTCCAGTTTCACGCAAGCGCAAGAAGAAGAACTGGGAGGACGAGGATTTCTATGACAGTGACGATGACAACTTTCTGGACCGCACCGGTGCTGTGGAGAAGAAGCGACGGGAGCGCATGAAGAGGGCGGGAAAGATTCAGGAGCGCCCAGACACTTACGAGTCACTGGTAAAACCCATGTCATTAAATACGCTTTCTCACATTTCTACCTCAGGAATGAATAAAAGTAATATGAAGTATCTCTCAAAATGAAGTGTTCACCTGAGATAGTGCACCACATACAGCGTTGTAATGGGATATCACTGATGTTGCCAATTCTCTGAAACACAGACGTACACTACAAATCTCTAAAACAAAGTTTTTGTTTCAAATAGCCTCTTTTCTGTCTATTGGAATGTTTTGTGCGCACAGTATGTGATATGTCAGGGCAGGAAGGGTATTATAGCCTTTATGGTGTGGACTAGTGACAGGGTGCTTGTTATCTTGCTAAGGTGGCCAAACTGTTGGTGGTTGAGAAGGAGCTGGCAGAGACCGAGAAGAAGCTCAATGCTACAGGGAAAGGTAAGTGGTGCACAGAAAATGTATTTTCAACCACCAGGTTCGTGTTTCTTAATCCTGGTAAGTGGAATCAGGTGTGTAGTGCTAGGGCAAAAACAAAAATGTGCACCCCTTTGGTTCCCCGGGACCAGGATTAAGAAGCACTGGTACACCTATGTTTTTGTGTCTACTATGTGTTGTTTCACCCAAGTGAGTGGTGTTGTCTGTGAGTGAGTCAGAGTGCTTTATCCTCTGTGTGTTTCTGTTCACTTCTATTTCTCCTCCCTATCAGATGGCTCCCACTCGTCCTCCGAGGACCCCCTGGATGCCTTCATGGTCGCTGTGCGCAGCGAGGCGGCGCTGGACGGAGTGGAGCGCCGGAAGCTGCATGTGCAAGCCGCCGACCTGCGCAAGGAGGCCCAGAGACTGCGCCGGCTGGTGGAGCTCACGCGGCCAGCCCAGATGCCTTCACTGCAGACGGGGTGAGATATAGGCAGCCATCCCCTAATATCTGAATCACCTAGTCGAATGTTGGGTCTTGGTGCCTCTTTCTCACAATGTATCCGTTCATCCGTTATTCTCTCAAATGCCTCTAGATGATGATTGTATATTAGTAGTGCATATTGCTGTTCCCTCCTAGGAATACTGCATGTTCTTTACACATGGTACACATCTCTTCTTCACAGGAGTGGGTCGTCCGAAGCAGACAAGCCGAAGAAGCGGTCCCTACCGCTGTTTGGTGCCATGAAGGGAGGCGCCAAGTTCAAACTGAAGACTGGGACCATAGGGGTACGTTCACTTGGCAACAGAGGAGAATATCCGTAATAGCTTTTCATAAGAGGGTTTTTGCAAATGCTGGAAAAGCCTTTACAGTTTACACTCCCTATTTCTGCCATTTCTTTCCGTCTCTCTAGGTCTGTCTACCTATTTCTTTAGCTCTCGCCCTCCCTCTCTCTGCATCTCTTACTCAACAGTTGCCTCTTCCTCCCAACCGCTCGCTATTTTGTTTCTCGTCTCTCACTCCCTCTCATAATATGCTCTCTTTCCCTCTTTCTTAGAAGTTGCCCCCAAAGCGAGCCAACCTGCCCGCAGAACTCTTCAACATGAAAGGAGAGGAGGAAGAAGAGGACGAGGAAGAAGAGGAGGATGACAGCAACAAAGGGAGTGAAGACGTGACTGAGGCTGACATCCAGGCTGAGGAACCCCAACAGTCTAATGAAAGCACTGATTCCCCAGAGGGCTGCAGTACAGGACGCCAGAGCCAGGACCCACCTCTGTACCAACCTCCCAGAGGTATGATATAAAAGTTGGATGCTGTGTCTTGCCGTCCCTTTTTCTCACTGTGGCTACATTCTGATTCTCTACCCTTCTCCAGAAGTGTGCACTCGTTTACTTTCCCTCATACATTTAAAAGTATTTGATTGGTGCAAGCATGACTGCTGGGAGTTTCCACCATATTCCTTACAGCAGTCCATTCCTTTAAATCCGTGAGGGGGTGTAGGCATGCACAATTGAAGGGTAGGGAATTGGACAGTAGCCTGTGTCAATTTTATCCATATGGAGCTGTTGTTCTCCTGTAGATGGCAGTGTTACTTTGGACAGAGCTATACGTATATATTATACTACATATCTATGTATCTCCAATGTTTGGCTCTGACATTGTGGCATCATCATGGAGAAGTTGTTTTCCGTAACAACATATCACTATTCAGCTGTTGTCATTCAAGTGTTTTTGTCTGTTTTTTATAGGGAAAAAGCTGTCCCAGAAAAGCATAGTTGTAGAGGAGCCGGATGAAACCATGGAAGATGCGCCTCTCGGGCATTTAAAGCCCTTACCAGGTACAGTAACTCACGTTTGTTTCTCTTTGCTCTTCTGTTGGTACACTGTTTTTCTCTGTCTCTTTTTTGTCAATGGGAGAGACTGTTGCATTTCCTTGATTCCTCGGGTCCTCTCGCCTCCTCAAAACCCATTGGATGAGAAGGTCAGAGGTCCCGCCCCTCTGATCTTCTCATCCAATAGGTTTTGAGGAGGCAGCGAGGCAATGCAATTGCGATTCTCCCATTGTGTGGATGGTCTTTAGTTCTTGTCTTTTAGTTCTGGTGTTTCTCCTCCCATCTTTCTTTAGACCCTAAAGAAGGGGGCGAGGAGGTGGCAGCGGCCAAGCCCAGTCCTAAGACGTTCTTGAAAAAGAGAACCATCGGCCCCAGCAGAGTAAGCACTTCGAGCTCAGAGTGCACCCTCACACATACACTCACTCAATCAATCACTCACTCGCACACTCACTAGCCAATAATGAGCCAAAACTTGATTGAGAATTCATTAATACTGTTAATCAAGCATGCTGGCGTTCTACACAGTCCCCCAAATTTAAGTCCAGTGTACTTTTAGACCAACATGAGTTATACAAAGAAACTGGGCTGATACTGTAATGAACATGAGCAGAATTAATTTACTAAGTAACAGCGTTGCAATACAGACTAGGCTACTCTGTGAATTTCCTTGTACCATGCGAAGATTCACCCTCTAAATCGCTGTATTATATTCAGTCTGTATTCCATTTACTACCTGAATTGTACCATGCTGAAAGAGAGCTACTTTGTAGTGTCTGCATTTTTTTTTCTACCACTCGTTAGAGAAATGTTGTGTCATGCTTTTGTCTCCAGCCTCCAGCCCCCCAATCAGGACAGTACCCTGAGGATGACCCCGACTATTGTGTCTGGGTGCCTCCCACAGGTATAAATAACTTATTGTTGATATTCACTTGTTTATTGTTCTTTCATCTTGTGAGGTTAATCACCTACCACCTGGCACCTTGACATATTGCGGCCATGTCTTGAGATGAACGCTAGGGTAACAAAGAGGTCAAAGACAACTCAATTTGGCTGGGCTTTGTCTAATAAGCCAGGCCTTTAACCTCCTCAACTGTTGGTCATCCATTTAACAGTAATGTCATTTCTGCCAAGATTTTTGACAAGACATAAGACCTTTTTGTCTGAACAATCTCACAGGCTTGTAACCTTGCAGCTAGGTGACATTTGGAGTTACAGCAAGAGTTTCTCTTACGCAATACAAGACTAAGGAAAGGTACATTAGAGAGCAAGATTGTCAACCTAGTGTTGAACACACTGCACAATGTTCCTCAAAGGACTATTTGTGTTCTCTACCACTCCTGAGTAAGATAAATAAGGCTGTCCCTGACCTCTGGGATGAAGGGAGCGAGGGAGAAAGAGAAAAGGGAAGTAAACAGACTTTATGACCAATTTGTGAAAAGGGAGAGTTTAGACTGCATTTTCATCAGTGGCCAAGGAATACAGATCAATGCCACGCTGTTAAGATAAGGTTTTAACATTTTGCGGGGGTGGAACACTTCTAAGAGCCATATGGATTCATAGACAAAATTCATTGAATTTAGCAACTAGCAAGAAACCCACAATTTGGTTCTTGGATCATTGGAGGGATAGGTTTGCGTGCGAGTACCTAAAGAGAAACGTCATTGGCAGACACTGCGAATATGCGAGGAAGGTTGGCATGGTTAGGTGGAATAATGTATTTCCCCCATAGCTGTTACACACGACTACGTAGGGTTTTGTCCTTGGAGCAGATAGCCAGTGACTTAATATAGCAACAAAACAGGCCAACATACTAAATGTGTTTTGCGAGGCCAGTCTTAAAGCAGGCACTTCAGACTCTTTGGTCATTGCACTGTCACTTCTTCTTTTTAATGTACATGTTCAGAATAATATGCCTAAAACTTTGTCCTCCATGTCTACAGATCAGTCTGGGGATGGCCGCACCCACCTCAACGAAAAGTATGGTTACTGAACACAAGGCTCAAACATTTGACTATTTTTTCTGACGCCACCCACCTGCAGACCTAGCAGCAACACACACACAGGCCTCCATCCCCTCAGTATCTGTGTTCTCTGCCACTCCTGAGTAAGAGAGATTGCATACAACATACCTTTTACCACATTTGAATGCACTTCTGGGAAAATGGCAACAATGTGGAGGCTGGCACTTGGAAAGCGTACAGTGTTGCCCTCTTTGTGAAAATGACCAAATTTGGACGTTTGGGTGGTAGCAGGTTTGTAGTTGCCTCATGGTAACCATTGCCTCCTTTCTCCAAGATGACCAGGTCATTGAAACAACTTGGTGAATGTTTTGCATTACATATCATCGAACAGTGTGAAAAAGGACCAGTCCCATTACAGTTAAGATCTCAGTCCTCAGATACTGGTTAGTAGACTAGCCAGCAGATCCGACCCACTTGCTTTTACAGCTGCACTAGGGTCGGACAGCATTCCTGTGTATATTAAGACGCCGGTGCAAGATATGGCTCGGAAAACTAACCTCAATCCAGGGATGAGAAATGTTGGGATAATGGGACAATTCGGAGTATAACGCATTTCCAGTCCCTGGATTGAGGTTCGTTTTCCAAGCCATATCTTATTCCGGCTCAGCGGTGTCTTAATATACACAAGAATGCTGTCCGACCCGAGTGTAGCTGTAAGCAAGCGGGACGGATCTGCTGGCTCATAACCATAGTAGGCCTGCCTGCAAGCCTGAAAGCACTTGACTCACCCCCTTGTATGTAATAGAGATAGGCTGCACTTAAACCGAGCCCAACTGGAATTTGAATTGGCCCTATCCTATGTCAGATGAGTGTACAGCATATAGTGAAGCATTTAGCGTTAGTGCCCAAATTCACTCATCTGAGGTCGGCTTTGTTACTTTGGCTGCTCTCTCGCAGCTAAGCCCACCTGACGTCCGAACAGCATGGGTTCCCTGCTGGGTTACACTGTCGATTGCTGGCGTAACCCTCTTTCAAATGAGAGTGAGCGTGGCGGAGAGAGAGGGAGCACATTTAAGCAGCTTTGCAGACCATCTGGACACTTGTGTGGCATTACTGGATAAAACGCAAGCTGATAATGAGTCAAGTCAAAAGTAGTGTGTGTCCTCCCCCTCCAAAGTCTCTTTTTAACCAGATCTTCATTACTAGTGACTCAGCGTTTAGGAGACTGGTGTGTGTGAAGTAGGGTTTCATGTGTGTGTTTGTGGCAAGCTACCTAGAGCAGGATTACACTGCCTCAGAAATCCCACACAGCATTTATTCCTGTGTTCTTCATTCTCTCCTCACTACTATTCTATCCTATTCCCTCCAGCTGACACTCTTAAACCTGGAAGGTTAAAAGTAATACCCTTCCAAAAGTCGTGTATTTTGTTACTTTTTATTTGTACAATAAAGTTGTCCACACGGTACTTAGCCCACGAGTTGTTCAGATTCCATCTTTGAAGGTTTGCAGTGAAGACTCATTTCTCCAGAGTCCACAACTGCACGTAGATGTGACAATTGCCTGCTACGGTGCGTTTCCACTTAACCATCCTATGTCGATTAAAAACAGCTGGACGTAATGATGTCACACCAACAAAAAAAGCGTCGAATAAAAATGAAGTGGTTCCATCACCCATTTAGGCAAATTGCGCAATAATACATAGGTGGGAGGGCATACAGGCTGTCACCAATTGTTTTATGTCTCAGGTAGCCAGCATGGATAGAATGCAATAATTGACTAATATTTCCATATTCTAATAATTCTCATGTGCCAATGTATTGCCGCAGTCCATGCCATGATGAATAATTCTCATGTGCCAATGTATTGCCGCGGTCCATGCCATGATGAAACTTGCACTGCCAGCCAACCAGAAAAGCAAGGTGAAGCAATTTCGGCATTCTTGATAGTCAGGACAATCCTTGTCCTCCAAATACATGTTTTAGTTGGAAAAAAATGTATTTAGCTAGCAGTAGATATTTAGAATTGAATGTGGAGTGGAGATTTAGTTATGACATCACGTGCCCCGCAAACTTTCGGAATTATTCGGCAAACATTGATTCAAGAAAAAAAAGTTTCCATCTTCATTTGTCACAATGTTCAAACAAAAACTCCACCCCTGTCAATCGGATAAAAATGGTTGCCTATCTTTAGAACATGTCTATCTAGCGTTTCCATTACACGTCACAACAATTTTTTTTGGGACATTGCTTTTGTCAAATAAACCTGAGTCAATGGAAACCTACCTACTGACACAGTCTGATCTGGCAGTAAGAAGTTTGGTGAGATGTTCTGCTGTGATCCAGTGAGGAGGGGTGGGAACCTTGCCGTCTTGGCAGGCTTTGATGTGACACACATGCAAGTCCTGCCTCACTATGCCACCACTCAGCCGTTGCACATGCATAGGCACACTGCTATTATGTACGTATACACTCCCAGATATGTGGGCATCTATCTACAGAAGCCCTAGCTGCACATAACCCACATTCCAGGTGCACAACCTGCATGCGCACACACACACTTCTGCAAATACACACAGGTTGCATACACACATACTTTATGCAAGAATGTACTGTACTCATACACATTCAAATCTCAGTTCCCATAAACACAATTTTCCAAATCCCAGTCCTGCAGGACCTCCAGACCACTTTGGCCCTGGGCTCTCTTGAAGGATGGAGTAACCCCGGATTCAACTCCCAGAGCTCCACCAGTACTGGGGCTAGAGATGCAGTAGGCCAGGGTCATGGATCAGAAGCTGGGTGGGCCAGGGCAACGAGGAAGGCGACACACAGAGTATGAGAGACAGGGAGAATATATCCTCACTGAAAATAAATGACACTCGATTTTGGATTCACCTCGTGCATTGACTGGATTGAAGCCAACCCTGGTACACAGCTAATCCAAAATGGTAATTGTCAATGCATATAGAACTAGTCTATGTAATGTGCTCTAAAATGTATCACTCCTAAGAATCGAGGCCGCAGGGCGTTTATTTAATCATAAATTATGCGAGGGACACAAATGTCAGAGTGCTGCACTACATTCACTCTAGCGGAGCTTGGTTACGGTGACAACATTGTGTTGATCGCAACATGTCCATCAAGGGATACATTCATATGCATAAATAGGTTGTCTTGTCACTTGAGAAAAAACGTTTTTTCATAACTGTCCTCTGATTACCTTAGCATATTGACCCTACAGTCAAGACTAGCCTCAGTTTTACATTCAATACATCAGGAATGTCATTCATAGGCATAAAGATTAGACGTTTGGGATGACTGTTGGTTGTCTCATACCTGGGGCGATGTGCCACCGAAGAAAAGGAGGTACAGGGTTAGAAATGCGTCACGTAGCGTACTACACAAACTCATGACACAGCACCAAAATAACAGCAGTAAATCATGTCATATTCTAGTAGATTTCTTATACTTCCTTTCTTCCATGCTCACATACCTTTATTTTCTGCACCACAGCACAGTGAAATGCATACAGGAAAAGAGGACAAAAGTATTTGATGTTATCCTGTTTTCCTCTTAAGGTGAAATTCACAAACTCGTCGACAGGTTGATGGTTACATTGTTAAAAGTTACCTCTTGATCTACAGTCATACATGTTGTAGTATCTCATGACCTGGGCCCGGTTTCCCAAAAGCATCTTTAAGCTAAGTTCATCGTTAAAACCTTCGTAGGAGCATCGTTAAATATCCGAGCTGTTTCCCAAAACCATCGTTATTACAATTAAACGCTCGTAATCTAACGCCTGCCTCAGATCACTCGTAGAATAGCTAAGTGCATCGTTAGATGCTTTTTTGCTCTCTAGCGTCACTTAATACACAGAAGATCTCCGCTAAACATAGAATCAAATGGTTGATTGATCTGTCTCTGACTGCCGTTAACTTCAGAACAAAGTTGACTACAAAGGCGAAGTTGGTAATGTCTTTGCAATTGATACAAACGAGCGACGTATAAAAATATGCTTCAAAGTGAAAACCAAGATGACTGCATTAAAATATAAACAGTAGGCTGTGTTTTCAATGTTCAATCGAGTTCTATTTTGCTACATGTAGGCTACTGTCTGTAATTTGTCTCAATATATTTAATGATGTGTAACGTGCGCAATGATGTGCCAAATCGGTGATTTTGTGCATTTCTATTGGGTAACCATTAAAAGCGTTCGAATAAGCAGCTCAACATTTGCAGCCGTAGGTTGTAATATCTCTCAAGGAGCTGATCCATCGTCAGTATTGTGAAATAATTATAATGTTAAGGAAATATTTGAATGGAGAAAGCTGATCTGAGAGCAGCACTACCTTTCTTTCGACCCTATGGGTATCGACACATTCTCCAATGACGCACTTAGCGACCATTCTCTGCATGGTGTTTTGGGAAACACATGTTCTATCTTCGGTCGTTGTAGGAAAGATGCATCGTTAAAACACTTGTAAGCCTAAGTTCCATCGCTATCGGGAAACCGGGCCCTGAACAATTCAAATAACACATCCAAAAAAGAGTAATGCAGACAGACGAGATCTACTTTACTTTCAAATAACTGCACGTGCCAGGGGTGCCCTCTGTCACCACAGCCTATTAATGTGTATTATGACAGATTGTCAGGACAGTTTCCCTCTAACTGGTTGATACATACAAATAAATATAGACTCTTTACTTATATCGTGCAGTGTACATCTTGAAATGTGTCAAGAAAGCCTCTGTTAATGAGTTATCCTAATGAGCTGTTGTCCCGTCTAGACCAGGGTATTCCCCGGGGTCCATGTTTTGGCTTTTGCCCTAACACTACACAGCTGATTCAAATTACCAACTCATCATCAAGCTTTGATTATTTGAATCAGCTGTGTAGTGCTAGGGCAAAAACTAAAACGTGGGGGTCCCATGGACCGAGTTTGGGAAACACTTGTCTAGACAACAAACCTGTCTTGCGTTTGATTGAGCGTTTGATTGACCTTTTGATTGTCGTCAACATACGACAAACCTTGTATCAAACGCATTGGAGTAGTCTTTGAATGCTTGTGTTGTCCTTTGAAAATATTTTTTATAATCCATTTTTAGAACAACCATCCATTGAAAATGTGTCCAAAAGACAGCTGTTAATGTATGAAATACCTGAAGTGTCCTTGGAACGGAGAGCTTGAGTGAAGCGGTGTATTTTCAAAGTGATTTCTATTGCAGCCTTGTTGTTCACACATACCGTCTGCCCCCGTCTCACATCATCATCCAATATCAGGGTTAAGATCTCTCCATTCTTAGTGTCTTAGATGGTTCTGTCCAGTGAACCTGTTGTCCGAGCAACAGCATGACTTGACAGAGCGGGATTACCTGAGAGTACTATATTGACCTTCAAACATTGGCTTTGTCAAGTTGTCCTAGCGGTCGTACCATAATGGTATTACTCATTATTTAGCTCAGTCTCGTCTTCAGAGTTTGAAGTCTGGGAGTCTCCGATAGAGTCAGTAAGTGAGGAAGGGGGGGTTGTGTTGGTGTTATCCCCTCACACACACGTGGGGTCTTCGGACGGAGTCAAGGGATTGCAAGGAGGGACCCTGCTGAGGGACC